AGAAAAAGGCATAACGTTTTACTAATTATGTAATTATTACTTTTCTTAGCTATGTTTATATGTATGTAAGTGTTGTAGCTATTATAGATGGCATATTATCCTGTAAGGTTCATGTGGGTGTGCTTACGATATTAAATTCTGCAAATATATGCATTTCACGCCACTTATCATCTTCCCCTGAAACTTCGTGGGCAGAGCGAAGTAAGAATGCGACGTTGACGACGACGCTTGCTAGTCATCTATGTTTCTATAAATGCGATACAATAATACTTTTTTTTGTTATTTAAGATAGCATCAACGTCTAGGTAATTAGCGACCACTATTGCTGGTAAAGGTATGGTAACTGTGAGAAATGACACGATATGATGTGTTAAAAATCACCGACTTTAATTAATAATATGTTTTGCTAGAAGTTTTTGTTTTCGATGTTTTGGCTGTGAAAAGTTCTATAATCATAATTTTTTATGGAATGGACACTGAAATCTATAAGTTATGGGTTTCAGTGTCCATTCCAAGAAAAATGATTATAGACCATAACGCATATAGTGCAAGCTAACCCCCGTTAACAGATCTCTCCTTCCCGTCCACCGTCCGACAGCCCCCTAATAGCAATTTTCTTAAGTTGACATTTACAGACCACCAAGTATACTTTACACCTAATTTTCAAAAGTTAAAACGAAAATTTACGACGTTGCAAAAAGCATTCGCGCGACTTGCCCCGTGTCTTAGGCAAATTCTCGAAGAAATCACAAAGCGGGGATATTCCGGAAATCTTGAAACAATAAACCACAGCCACTGATAACATATCACGGCTGCCCACTCTATTGACCAGGCGTGTAATTCACTGAATTTACTGTCTTTCTCGCTTTACCTTCCCGGAAGAACATCTGTTGCTGTAGAATATCAATGTCGCACGTCAGGGTTATCATCTTGCTCTGAAACACAGGAGCATTTGTCTTGCGTTCGGAATATGAGCCCAGCAAACACCCATGAACCAATTTTTTTGTCCTATGAATTGCGAGAAAAGCAAGGTTTCGAGCTCTTATGGCAGAATATACACCGTGTGAATGTAGACAAATTGGGTATAGAGAAGAAAAAGAAGTTGGTTGCTTATCGACAACTATTGGAAGAACTTAAACTGAAAATAACTTCTACGTTTATTTTTACCCGAGATTTATTGATTTTAAATGCATTTAAAAATTAGTTAATAATTCTAATAAGACATATGTCATAAAGGCAAAATGAAATGTCAAAATGTTTCATTTTTGTTAATTCCTGCTTAATAAATAGAAAAATTTTCCATTATGACCCGTCATAACAGACTCTTTCCTAACCATTTAATATCCAGTAAAGGACATTTTAAAAAAAAGTGATTCCTCTATTGAGCGACCTTCCCTCTAAAATATCACTTTTTTAACCGAACCTATGATATTCTGTGAGAATCATATCAATGAAACTATTAGAGGATCGGAAAATTGAAAAATCACGTGTTTTCTATATTACATAACGACTAAAAATGTATTTATTAGAGGAAAGAAAACTAAACTTCTGTACTAATTCAGAAGATTTGTATATATAATATTCTACAACATTTTCAGTGAAGTTAGTTAATTTAAAATTAACTAACAATGTGCGTTAAAAAAATACAAGGTTGAACATTTTTAAAGGTAAAGAAAGAGTTCACAAATTATCGGAATTTTATATTAAAAATTTGACTTTATTTAAAAATATACTTGTGAAGAACAGACTATTCAGAAAAAAATATGTTTACCTTCAATAATGTAATTGTAGGAGGGCGTCAAAATGAAGTAACTTTTGCAATATTTGAAAATGTAGATTTTTACTGAAAATCAGATTTGCGTCATTTTTATAAACACATTTGTCTTTATTCAAGCAAAACACTTTTAAACATTCTATTCATTTTCGAAACACTTTTGAAAATTTTCGAAAACCTTGGTGTAAAGAATCTCCAAAATGTGATTCAAGTTCTGTGGACTTTTAGATCGATCATATCGATCGGAGAATATCAATTTTTTGTGAAAATCCTGTGCACTGCATAGGAGACACAGACAAGGTCAGATGGATGGAGAGATGGACAGAGGGACGAAAACACCGAGGGAAGAGTTTTAACCACAAAACTCTTAGTCAGTGACAGGTAACGCCAAATATGATTTCATCAAAATCCCGTTATAGAATTTTGCAGGATTGATTTCATAACTTTCTCTTTTCAAAGTATTAATCCTTACATGTTCAGTAATGTCGAAAAAGTTTAAACTTCGTCGCAGAAAGTACTTATCTCCATGACATTTCATTAAAGAATTATTAACTGTATCTGGAAATTAGCTGCATAATAAGTATTGTTAAATAATTATTTTCCAGTGAAGAAATTTGTATTTACTATTTCGAAGATTGTTAAGAAGGTGGATTTTAAAGAAATCTTGCAATCTAAAAAAGATAAGGCAACGTAATATAAATAATTGTTGTTGATTAAAACCTCTTGAAATTGAATCAGCAGTAATTCACATTTTTTGTAACTGTTTGCAATGATTTGTGGATAAAATGAAAATATTTATTGCAGAGGGCCCTGGAAATGGAGAACAAAATGTTGGAAAAGGCTAAATAATAAGTGTTCTCTGACGATATGCAAGTTATTTATGCAGGTATGCAAGACTTCAATGTAAAAGGGTTAAACAGGAATGAAAATAGCGAAAAAAAATAATAAAAAGATCTGAAGGAAACCTTCTCTTTATTCAAATTAAATGAAATATAATTATTTGTCGCATTAATTGTTTTTAATTATAGGTTGTTTGTTGAATTTATTTTCAATATATGGGCGATTCGAGCTGCTCAATCACTCATCCCACGCTGCATAAGCTGACTGACATTTCATTCTGGAACTTTTCTCTTTTATCTCACCAACCTCGACTCTGCCCATTGTCGTTCTTTTATTGGTGCCTGGAACGCAATGACGAAAGAAGCGAAAGTGCTGGTTCTAGGTGGGCGGTACCGTAGTAGCGACCTCTTCACGAGGCTTAAGAGCAATGACCTGCTCAAGAAAATGACCATTAGTGCCTTATGAGAATTTGTGTCCAATCGATCATGATTCACACTTTCTGGCACTGATTACAATTGCTTGTGAAAGCCTCTTTTATAATAAATGAGAGATCTCTGTATAAATCACAGAAGTGATAGAAAATGGATTTGTGTTCGCGAAGAAGCGTCTAGTATGTGGCAAAGTATATGTGAAATGAGGTGTTCGGTTCGGATTATATAATTGTTTATTCATAAATCTCTTATTTAATCTAAATCTCCGAAGCGACAGCATGGCAAAGATGAGAGTCGGAGGTCAGGAATTGCTTATATCCTCGTTCTCCCTCCGGAACAGTCGCTAGAAGTTATAACAGTTTGGACATATTAGGATAATTGGAGTATTTGAAGATATTGGAGTAAAGGTCGGTTCGGTAGTTGGTAGTGTGATAACGAAATGCATCGTAACTGCATATGGGCAGGTTTTATTTGTGTGCGAGCACTGTGTCACGTAGACTACTAATTGCTCGCGTAGTCTGTATAACGCCCTTCTCAATTTCTATTACAGAGTATTTTAGATGAAAATCTGAAATTGGAGTAAATACCGCATTTTGATTTTAATTACTCTACTCGTGATATTTCATATTCTCACAAGCACAAAATTCGCGTGCCGATCTAAAAAATTATTCATCTTTATTCATATTGAAGCCCGATAGATGTAAAATACAATGCAGGGGAACTTAATAATAGTATTATCTCAAAGCTGTCTACAAAGTTGGGGTTATATCGTTATTCTTTTGTATTAGGCGTTTTTATTATTTTATTAAAGTAAATAATAGCGAGAATACCCATTTATTGGCAGGATTTGACACACAAAACAAGAGATTTTAATTTTTAAAAGGCAATTGATTCTTGAGCCGTCTCCACATTTCAACTTATCAGAGGGGAATTATGGGATGAGAAAGGATGATTATGAAAGATTAATGAGATCGTGAGTTTGAAGAGACGTGAAACACCTAAGCCTGTTGTGGATTTCGAACCAACGACCCTTCCAGCCGGGAGGGCAAGAGGGCGCTCAGTCGATAAGTTATTGACTAATCAAATCGGCGAATGTATTCTTGTTGTTTTGTGTTGACTAAGGAGAAAATCGTCGAGGGTCTAGTAATATTATGTAGGGGACAAGAGAGGTCCAAAAACGGGGGTTGTCTCGCCGTAGGAGCTAGCGCTAATTTACTGGCCGCGAGCAAATAATAGCGCGCAAGCGCCCTATCACGCCCGCAGCCTGAGCCTCTTGCCGACGGCAAATCCTATTCGCGCCGGCGCCCACAAGCCTATCACCGGTCACACTTGACGAATCCTCCCCTAATCCTTGCACGCGCAGACTCGCCGCCGCCGCAGCAGCAGCAGCAGCGTGCCGGCCGTGGGGTGGTGAGCGAGCACACGACTGTCTCCGGACGTGATCACCCGTCTGCGTGGCGAGAGGCGGGGCGGGTTTGGGGCGGGGCAAGATGCCCGACCCGACTCTCTTTCACCGTTCCCGTGGGACCGGTGCCCGGCCTCCGACCCGCGCTCTCTGAGCCTGCGGCGCAGTGGCAAATCGCGCTCGCGGGGAGCTTTGCCGGCGGCCGCCCGGCGGCGGCGGTCGCGGGAGCAGGGCGGGTCAGCGACGGGAGGCGGCGGGGAGGCGCGGGGCGGGGAGGCGCGGCCGGGGACCGCAGGACGCGGGACCAAGCTAGTAGCTCGATCGCTCGGCGAGTCGGAGGTCGAGGGCTGCGGAGTATCGTCAACACTGGCTGCGACGGCCGCTGGCTGGCTGCACGTCGGACCGCCAACACGGACGGACGTTCTCTCCCACGGCGCATCGTTCTGCTTTCAAGTCGTTTTCCGTGTGACAGGACAGTGAGTGTGTGTCTCGTTTGTACTTGACAGTCGTGTTGAAGCCTATCAGTGAAACCAAAAATTTAAAAAAAAGAAATTTTAATATTTTTATTGTAATTAAAAAAACTGTGATCGTGTGTGGACGTATCCTGACGCAACGTGCTCCGAGGAACACTGGACTTCGCCCACGTCTATCCCAGTTCAACACCTGGAATGCGCTTCTAATAAACGTGAGTACCGCAAATGTTTATGGTGGACGAAGTCGGGGGGATGGGAGTGCTATTCGAACGGAGCAGTTTGTCGCGACGATGGTTGGGCTAGGTGACGTTTCGTGTCCGGGATGCCCGGAAAGAAGCGCCCTGGCCGGGAGGAGGGCGGCGGGACGGATTATCGCCCTGCGGGTGCGGCGCCGCGCCGCGAGGCGGGATGAGCGCGCGAGACAGCGCCGCGTCGCTGCCGCCGCCTCCGGCGTGGCTCAGCCGTCGCGTCGTCTTTGTGGAGAGGCGCTGGAGCGCGGGATTCGAGCCCGTAAGCGGGGCGGCGTGCGGTGGGGCGGCCGCGATACCGGTTAATAGCCCGGGCCGGAGCGCGTTCCTCCGTGAGCCGGGCGGTGGGAGCTGGCGTTGCGAGATTTGCGGCTTAGATGGAGCCTGAACTCGTTCGGGAAGGATACGGGGGAGTGGGGTGCGATTTTTTGCTGCAGTTTTACATTCGCGATTAAAGTGTACGGACGATTTCTTAAACACGTCTTCCAGATTATGCTGACGTACGTGTGGAAAGATGAACATTCGGATTATCCCAGACCTGCTTAGGTTATTCTGTGAGCAAAGTAGACAACACTATCCAGATTATAGTTATATTATTGTATTGTTATATTATAGTTATAGTTGGCTAGTTTCTTAATTTTTATGGCGCACAAAAAAATACATTCCTATCATTAACGTTTTTATAAATACCTTTTGGATATTTTAAGGAGATTAAGACCCTAATGGATCTAGAATTTGTGGAACAACACTGAAATCTTTATTCGCAATAATAAATCCCTAACATTCTTCACTGACAACGCAATACGTTCTAGACCGTAAAAATGTCGTGGCATTCCTATGTACTGTTGTTTGTTTGGCAGAAACTTATAAACAGGCTCATTGGTTTATCTACCGCTTTTTGTGGCGTCAGCTGTTCTCCGATATCGTTGACGACGACGAAATCGTTGTGAATGCTGGCACATTAAACATCGTGAATAACCTAACTTGTTTGAATCGAGTTACAATTATCAACTCCGAACACATTTCATGTTTTTATGTTCATTCTGCATTCCATAAGAGAAGCAAAATGTTTATAAACGGTTGGACGACTCCAAATACAGAATACATTTCCGTTAACGTTAGTATTAAGTTCTCATTTGAAGTCACGACAAATCTCCGCGTCTTAAAAAAAATTCGAATCGAAATATCTCTATTTCGCTGCCGTTGCGCGAGCACGACCTTTGGATGCTGATCCATCACAAACGCCGAGGAACGTCAGGCTTTCAGCCTCTTATTTTCCCAAAAAGAAGGTACGTTTTCTTAATAAAAGGGTCCAGTTTCTTTCCGACTAATCACCCGTGAAACTCCATTGTTCGTGTGACGTGAATTTGCCGGCGGGCCCGCGTCCGCCGCCGTTGTCTTCGTCGGGCGTACCCTCGTAGGGCGCCGGCGAAGTGACGGCAGGTGGAATCTATTCATTCCACGCGGACTTTTCTTTATTTCCTGACGGAGGCGCCTGGCGTCGCTCTTTCTGCGACTGTCAGCCCGGCCGCTCCGCCATCGCGTCAGCGCACGGTGGCGCCGGTGGCGATAATAGGCGGGGAGGAGGGTGGTCGCACGTCCGGAAAGTCAGGGGCCCGAACATTAGATGCACGAGAGAAAATTAGGAAACACTTGACCCATTACTTGTCGAAACGACGTTTGTATAGAAAAGAAAGGAAAAACAACAAACAGCACCTTAGATATGTAATTAATAGTTTGTTCGTCTTGCAGAAGTCGTTACTTTTTATAATTAAAATACAAATTAAACAGACTTCATTTTACAAGTTTCAAAAAATAATTGGAATTTTAAAAATTTTGATAATGATTTTATAAGTTGCGTTTATGTACTTTACTGGAAACTATCTGCATAAACTTAGCGATTATTGTGAGACCAGTAATTGTTCCTTCGTAACACTTTCATTAAAAATCTATCGTATACATTTTTGTCAGTATTTTTTTTTCTGGTGGTGATGGTTTTCTGGTGGTGAGTTTGTCCGGGGTCCGAAATCGTCTAGCTCCGGCACCAACTGGCGCCACTGCTCCTCCCGGGGGTTCGCCCCGCCCGCACCACAGGTAGCTGGAGCGCACCCGGGGGCTCCCAGAGGTTAATGAAGATTTATGAAGTGGAAGAAGAGTTTGTGGAATTTTTTGTGCCGGCAGTTGTGTTTTGAAAGTGGACGGTTCGTCAGTGTTTGTCTTTTGCCTTGGCAAATTTGCGGAGGTTTTCGGCATTTCGCGTTGGGGAGTGTTGTTTGTGCGTATTTTTTGCGAAGGATTTCAAGAGGATAATGAAGTTTAACGAGTTCGAAATTATAGTTGCGGAAACAGTGCGACGAAAAAACGTTTTAGATGGAAGTGTATTGGAATAACGTGGTTGGTCAGCGTTTGGGGCGATTCGTTCGATACAACTAGATGAGATTTGTGTAGTGGTATGATGTTGATTTTAGTTTGTGCATATAATTCCAAATGATACATTGACGAACAAGAAAATGAATATGATTTTTTGGGGTTTCGTTTTTCGATGCTTGCAGACAATTACATTCATGGCAATCGTTTGGTCTGTTTACGGCTGTGTCTCCCGTAGAAAGCGCGTGCCCAGTCTAATGAATTCAGTGATGAATTTATGGATTGTGGAAATATGGTATTGCTCTGCTAGTTTGTTCAATGTAGGTTGAGGTTGTGAAGGAATGTTATCGAATCCTGATGAATATGTCTCCATAACAATGCTCCAAGCTCGGAAATTTCTATTGACTAGATTCCGCGGGCTTGTTGTGGGTGGATAAAAGTGGTATACAGCGGTGGTAGCTAGATGAAATATGGGTACCTCTATTGAATGCATAAGTACAAAGGATTATTTTTCCTGTTATGAGCGTTGGTATGTGAAGAATACATCCTGAATCCTCTGTGACACTGGCATAGGTCTCTTTTTACGTAATAATAAAAAAAACTGAAATGACATAAGAGAATGTGGGATGTTTTTAAACGGAACGGAACCAAAGGAGATAACGAGATTGGAAGAAATGAAATATGAAAGAAATGGCTTTGAAAGTAGTTGTATAAATATTCGTTAACTGAATTTGTGGTTTTACAAGCACTGTATTTGTTGGCATTCCTTCTAAGTACTTTTAAAAATGACTTCGTTGTAACTATTTTAAAGTTTCTGAAGAATTGCGTTCAGTGGTATACTAGTGATAGTATTATTTTGTAAATATGTTTACTTTACAAACTGAAAGATCATAAAACTAAATTATTTACTTAGAAGGCTCAGTATAAATTATGTGCTGGTTGTCTATGAAGTGCTTGAAAATACTCCATTATTTGATTTTTTTTTTCATTTTTATGATTCACTTTAGTGTTGAGAGAATTTTATTTGTTCATTCACTACGATATTTCACGAACTTTGCCTCTTACATTTAGTAAATAGTGTGGCTTGTGGGTTGTGATTATTATTATTAT